CTTGTGTTTTCTGGCACCCGCCCACACCCCGGTTGCCTCAATGGGATTATGTAATTTGTGGCCTACATACTTGTGGTAGACAGATTGCACCGTTTGATCGAGGAATTTCGACAAGGAATCTCTCTCAGTGTGCCGTCCGAGCACCGATGTCAAGTCTTTGATATTTTCCTCATCCCATGTTGCGAATTCATGATACGTCAGAAACGGCTCTCCATCGCCGGCGGGCTTTTCAAGCAACTCGTGAAGTGTGCCCAAGTCGTGCTCGTTTACAGGAGGAAGCTTTAAGAGGAAGACCCATTGATAAAGGGCTTCGTCTAGTAGGTGGGCACAAGGGCTGTCAACACAAGTCTTTTCCGGCATATGGTCATGGAAGGAGAGGGTCATGGTGACGTACTGTACTCTTTGAGCAGTCGGCGCATTTCGAGGGTTCTGGTCCATTGCAGGTTAAATGTTTCTTGCTCGGGTGGGCCTTTCATAGCCGAAATGTTGTACTCGAATTGCTGCCTCAATGGATCAGCCGCGTTGCGGTCGCTCTCGATAGCCACCCGAAGCTTAGCCTCAAGGTCCACAATCTCAGCCTGCAAACAGAGCAGGTTCCTAGCATTCAAGGGGAGAAATCTCCGGAAGATAGAGAGCCGTGGATAAGAGCCCTGAAGACCTGCAATTTCATTGTAGCCATTCATTGTCGGCTTCTCTCTTTAGAACCTGCTACGGTAGACGTCGTGTGTGCTTGGGGGAATCGAAATTGTCACACGGGGGGGTTATACAAAGAGGAGCGGAGGTGAACTCGAAATTCTTTGCTGGATGCCAAGCAAGTCAACCGCACCGCTTAGCTCATTCGAGGTTTTCATCCCGTCACGGATGCCCTACCGGATCGCCACATCTAGGCTGTGTACTTGCAGGCTACCTTTAAGTGCGGCCACCCCGAGTGGCCGTTCCACGACTGCGCCGGCAAACGAGTACATGGAAGAAGGGAGGGAGATGAGTCTATCCATCTCAAGTTTGCCATTCCTGCTAACCGTGGTGAAGCGTGACGAACGTACAAGGGGACCTTCCCTGCCGTCTACCACATCTCCCCCAACGACGACAACTACTCATGAAGGACGAAAATCTCGCGATCGATACTGTCGACACTATAGCATGCGACAATGCAAGCGCCATCATCCGAAGTCCAACTCGTGATTCAAGGTCGGGATAAACAGACTTGGACAGGAAATCTTTGCGCAGTGTGAAGTCGTTGTCCCCCATTTTCCTCACCACGAATATTTCTTTCCCCGTTATCCCTTCATCCTTGTCGTCGACATGTAAAGAGAAAGATATCTCCACCTCCTGGCCTTCAGAAAGTGGTGAGCAAAATATTCGAGAATGCTGAGATATCATCCGAGTGCTAATGTAGCTCTCCTTTTCCTTAGTTTGCGTGGCGCAACCTAGCCATTTGAATTCACCTTCCAAACTGGTCACCATTAGAAGGTATGAGGCCAGACTAGGTTGCTCGCTATCCTCAAGGCCCTGCTGCTCAAACGCCCATCGGCAAAACCAAAGTAACACGCGGTGTGATCGAGGGTGGCACTGTTGGTCCATTGTATTCATGAATGGGAGGTCGAGGTCGGGACTTGACTGACGAGTCGGCGGGATGCTCGTGGGTCGCGAATAAGGGCGATAAGCGAGACGTCGGATTCCTAGGGAGCTCTATGGTAGGTCCAACTTTTATCCTCGGTAGAATTTCTCAATGGGCAGTTTTGCGAACGGAACGGTGTCAGCAATCCTGTGATAAAACCCTCCCATTAGCATTCTCTAAAGATGTCAGAAAGAGTTTCATAAACTGACAGCCTTACCCGCGGTAGGATACAGTTGCCCTAGGTCGGCAGGTGGTCGACTGCTTGCTCAATTTCCTGTAGCGAGTGCGGTGCGCCGGTGGCTATATATTTTTCCCGTTAGATCCGGATATCTCAACGTAATTTGATCATCACGGGACAAATGACTCAACGAGAGAATGTACTAGATAATCCTGGCGTCGGAGTCTTTCCTTGTTTGCTCTCTCAGGCATTTAGCGGCTCGTTCTAAGCAAATAATAGGGCTCCCCGGATCCAAGCGGTGGGGTTTTCACGAAGCAAGCTTTGTTGTCACCATCCGGTGGGCTGCCCTGCAGGGTGCACTCTGAATGATCAAATGATACTGGTACAATGGGATCAGGCTAGGTGGGGTCCGCTTTAGTACAGTGGCACCACACTTTTGAGCGGAAGGTTCGACGTACAATTCACCCAGGCGATCGCTGATTTACGGCAGCTATTCTTTAGACGGTCCAATACCAGCAGAGAGCTTTCGGGGGCAAGGAGCGTAAAGGCGTTGATTGGGAAAAGGGCGGTGTGCGGGCTGACCAATCAAAAAGGGACATCTCTATAGGGTCACAAAGGATCACTGTCGGGGTGAATCGAAGAGTATTAAGTGGAACTTATCCACCATACGGATTGCTAAAGAGCCGACGCCTAAGGTATTCCTAACTCGCTCAAAGACATTGTCTACGGCCTCCAGCTGAGAGTACTCGAGGCTTTCAGTATTCATCCTCAGGAGGCAAATGGGTTCCAGGATGGAGCTCGCTTAATGGACCTCATTCCCCTCACCGGTTTGCTAGCGGCTTTCGAGCGGTAATTTCCTTCCAATCCTGAAGTAAGTGGGCCCTTAAGCCGAAGCTAGCTTCGAGGAGCCGTGAAGAGATACCAATTCGTGGACATCTAAAGTTGGTCAGAGTGCCGGTGGGAGGTGCTTCTCAACCCTCCGAGTGGATCCCCGTAATAGATTGGTAAATACCACATCTTAGTGGCACCTTGCACGCACTCTATGATACCACGGCGTCGAAGGCACGCTGACGAAAGATGTCCAAGCTTGGGTGGCTTCGTCGACAACGTCTGTAGGCAAGTCATAGAATGTCATGTCACTCGCCCACTGCCATCGATCTACTCTGCTGAGACCTTGGCAGGACTCTCGGACGAAGAACTGGTCGTAATCGCTGGCGAGACGCCCAAAGGTCGGTGAAGAGAAAGCAACTGCAAGATCTGCAACGAGATGCTGTACAAAGGCACATATTCTACGCTTAATACTGCCCGTTAATTGGGCTTCTGCCGGGGATATGGGTGGACCTGAAGAGACTCCCTGATGACTGGTTGGGTCAAGCTCCACAAGATGCTCCCTCTGTCTCAAACATCACTCCCACAATCCTCAGTCATCACACAGGTGCTATCCTTGTCACCGGTTCCCCTCAACCCTAAAAAAACCACCGATCTAAGCTCCTGGCTGCTGGGTTCCACACCGATTTTCATATTTCCTCGCGAAACAAGGCAACGGAGAGCACCATCGCCGGGCGTGCTGACGTCCTCTCGGCGCTCTCTACTCTTGCCAACCTGACTACTCCGCAAGTTTGCATCACTTCAGACGAGAAGTCCGGAAGGTCGCTTCAAGGGCTCGAGTGCATGCTATCTTTGTTAAGCTACATATGCAGGGCGACGCGAGGAGCACTTCATTCTGGGCGTCCGGCCACGGATCCGCTTTGGGCAGAGCGTGAAGTCGAGCACACCCAGGGAAGTGCGCCCAGCTGCCAGGCAAATGCCAATGGAGACTGATGGCCCGCTGGGAGATTCACACCAAGCAGCCGGATTGGCGATTCGTATTGGTTAAGCCAGATTTGGCAGGCTCTGCTATTGATGCCAGGACCTTTGGTCTGCAGCGGGCGCCCTCAAACAAGCAGCGATGTGGCTAGTCATACATGCAGGTTCTGCTCCTAGCGACTCGCGCAGGCAGGCACGCGGCATGCCTCAAAGTCTACCTTGAACCTTGCATGGTTAGCCAGCGTGGTCATTTGGTGAGTCCAAAGACCTCCAGGTTCAACCTCGCGGATGTTGCTGTTCATGAAGGTTCGGCCCTACATACGAGCGGCAGATCAAGAGCATCGTCAAGTATAACCTCGCACTATGAAATATCAGCACTTTACAATGCGCGTATGCGCCTGCTCGTCAAGGAGGGACTAGATCGAGACTTCTTCAAAATGAATGTGAATATTTTGAGGGACTTTTTTGGGGGGTTGGGCCGACCTGCAGGCCTTCTTCGACATCAATTTAAGGACCGGCATAAAATTCAGATGGCCTGTGGGTCTGATTTGGGCAATCACCACCGGTTTCACCACCAAACGGACGCCTTTTGTGGCTGAGGCACGAGTACCCCCTGACAGCCGCGGATTAGACAGGATCGCCTGGTTCGTCAAATTTAGCTTCACAGCACGGGCAGGATCGCGGCGCCTGAGTCTTCCCCTTCATCTAATAATACTGTAATTAAATAATCAACTAGTGATTTGTTTTCGGCGTCGCCAATATATTACTACTCCGTATTTAGAACATAGAGTCATTCATGATCGACAGGTCCGCTGGTGTTCAACCTCACCAACCCGCCACCGCTCCTCATTCTTTTGCAAATTTACTCTCTTGCTCTGCCGTTGATGTCCAATATTTCGCTCCTTCCGTGACGTAAGGCGGCCTCTCGGGTCGAATAAACTGGTAATGCATCTGTTCTAACTTGAGTCGGTGGTTATCGCTTACCAACAGACAAATCGTTAGCATCGAAATAGAGAAACTTCTCAATCTCGAAATGTTCAGAAATTATACTCCCGAGGAACAATTGATTGACCTTAATGTTGCCCTCCGGAAGAAAGACTACACCATGGCATCATCACTCCTGCACGGCTTCCTCTCCAAGAACCCCAACGGAAGGACCTTCCAGCAGTGCTGCATGGTGCACAAGCTCGAAGAGGAATCTCATGGACCGAACTGCTGCCGTGAAGAATTCTGCGATGAGGACCATAGAGAAAGCCCAGACGCCGGTCGCCAAAAGGCCATTTCATTGGTAACGGAATCGGGAGCGTTGGACATTTATTTCGCATGGCTTGCCGGTCAGTTCCCAGAAAGAAAGCCTGAAACCCTTCGCTCCGTGTTCGAAGCGCTCAAGGGCCAGGTCGACGTACCAATCGACACAATCCGAATGTTTGCTCGGTGTCTGATATCGAGAAAAGAGTCTCTGACCTGCGGTGCCGCCGTCAAGATGTATGACGATGAGAAAGAGAAGGTCTTTACATCATGGTTTCAATGCCTTGCAGATAAGTGCCAAGGGCGATCCGGGATAATCAGGGCTTTACCAGGGGAGGGCCGCCCTTTATATCTCCTGGACCAGAATTCGGCGATGGCCGCTCTTGCAGAAGCTCCCGACGTGACAATACTCATTCGCAGTGAACACAATACGGAAGAGGGGATTGTAGAGGAGGGAGAAAGGGCCGAGCAGCAATTCATGAAGGAGGATAGACTTCATGTCCACAGCACCTGGGTGTTTCCCCGCTTTCGGTGGTTAGAGAAATGTTTAAGCAGCGGCATGAAGGTTGGTGCCTTCTCTCAAAAATACCCCAACTGCTAACCAAACTCGAAAGGAGTCCGCGGACCGCACCATTGACCTCACGAACGAAGTGCCCCGAGTGGTACGCCGGGTGCTCTTGTACACCTATACGGGGATCTACGATGTGGATTTTTTTACCGACGATCATCTCTTCCACGTACAAATGTTTGCGTTTGCAGAGCTCCACTCACTCGATCATTTGAGGGACGAGGCGCTTCGCCGCCTTTGGATGTCCCTCAGTACTCTCGACGGACAGCGCGACACCATTTGCGTACGAAAGCCAGAGCTGAGCATTTCTGACCAAGACAAGCTGTCCGAGATTCTTGAGGCCCTAGAGGACTATCAAGGTTTTGACGGTATTGTACGCATGGCAACTCGGGTCCTTCATTGTGTCAAAGGCACCGTCACAACGAACAAACTGCAGCGTTTCTACCTCGAGAGCGCCTTCGTTCCGATGTTGACCCTCACCTGTCGCAAAGAAGATCCTGAAAATATCTGCTTCGATTGTCCCGGGCGATGGATGTGGCTCGAAGGTTGTATCCACGGAGGGAGGTGTAAAAACAATGCGTGTGTCCATGATACGATGTGTGAAGCCTGTTATGGAAAGCCAGGTGTACAGGAACAGGTGCAGATCGTTTGAGGTTGCTAGATACTTGAGAATCAGTCTGACGACAGACATGTCTGCATGATCCGATCAAATCATCCAAGGGAATACTGAGCTCGTCAGCTTGTGCTCCGAGTTCAAGATGTTCAAGGCCAATGCTGCCTATCCAAAATGTGGTTCATTATTCTATAGGGCAATCTGCAACCCCAACGCCATGCAAAGACTTTCGATTTGTCTATATTTTTTGGCATCAATCAATAGATCTCCTCGCCCTCATCACGTCTGTATCAATTATTTTGTGATATCCTCAGCAGTAGTGTCAGAATATAACTCTGAAGTTGGGGACCTTGAGCGCTGGTTGGGTTCCGCCAAGACATTTTCAGGGACACTAAACCCTACTGAGCGTATTCTCATGTGTAGCGCCAGATTTCTCGCGGGCAGGAGGCCCACTTCAGACGTGTAACGCGAAAAATCGAGGGTTAGCGTGTGTTGTGCGAAATGAAAACGCGTAGCGCCGAACGCGAGCTCGCGGCATACGCGAGTCTTGCAGCACAGGACTCGTTGGAGAGGTGTAATTAGGGAGGTGTAATTAGGGTATCTTTGGGCTCAGTCATGGCTACCGAGGAGCCAATAACTCTATTGGACCAATGGGGCCTTAAAGTCGTCAGCCCAGAGCAAGCGTTGATATGCTGCCACTGCCAGAACGCCTTGAGAATCGGTGCCGATTACGTGCTACAGCATATCGCAAGTCATCAGAGCGTGGAATCGATTGCCCGTGATCTTCTAGAACGCCATCTCAAGACCTTTGAGCTGAACGACGTAGCACAGCTAAATTCCCGTAAAGACGGATCGCTCTGTGATCCGTCTTTAAGGATTCAGCCTGGCTATGCGTGTCGACACCGTCCCGTCTCCAGGCGATCTCCAACCTCAAGCGAGCAAACCCTTTTTCGGCACTTGTCGTCTCAGCATGGCATTTCAAAACGTCAAGCCCGAGCCATGCGCGACTATGATAGAGTGTCTCTCAAATGCTGGGCCAGTGGTGGATTGTTCACTCCCCGGTGTCTTACAGTACCATTCTCGAGTTAACTCCACCTCGCCCTTGCAAAATTCGCCGAACAGTGACGCCTCCGTCCGAAGAACTCTCTCAGGGGCCAATACTACCGAACATTCTACTTCAGATCCATGCACAAGAACGGACGCGCCCGCAAGATTTCGATGCTACGCCCATAGCCTTCGAGACCGCTGGACAGGAACTCTCACTCATTCGACCATGGCATGAGCGGACCCGGTGGTACGAGGCTTACCATGATCGTCCACGTGATGCCCTCTATTGCCGGACCGTGGTGGTCGGGTATTCGGAATGTACTTAAGGACGGCGGGCGACCAGGAGCTCTGGAGTTGCGCCGAAGATGAGGAAAGGATCCACCACATCTTGCAGCACGTTGATTTTGCTTTTGATCGTTGCGAGGAGACTGTGCGGCGCAGCGGCCACCCAATTTTATGCTGGCTCCGAAGTCGACTCCCCTTCCCAGCCCTTCAAAGCTCCTTTCCGGCTCGTTGGCCGGAAGGAAACGCGCCGCAAGTATCGACGGCGTTGGAAACAAGTCTTGGGTGTAGGACTTCGGAGCGTTCGGTTCTAGCCATCGGTTCTTCGCGTATTAGGCATTCCGTTCACCACAGCCCAGATCACAGTTATCAGGAAGCTATGGTCCATCATCTCGAGCCAACCAGACCTACGCCTGAATACATCAGAGATCGAAGTGGACGGAGATGAAGAAGATAGTGAGGAAGGTGAAGAAGATGATGATGATGAAGATGATGATGAAGAGGATGATGAAGACGGCGAAGACGGCGAAGACGACGGAGGCCACGAGGACGACAATTATTTCCCTGATGACCATGCCGCAGACGCTGGCTCGCTTATACCTTTGGTTGATAATCACAGTACCGGAAGCGACATTCTCAGCGAATTGATCTTTAAACTTAGCATCTTACTGTGTCGGGACGAATTTACAGACGGACAGCCTTCCTCCAGCGCCCTCGTTTACATCAGTGGTATTCTTGCCTTCATAACCGATGGAGCCGGGTTTCAGACCCCTCGTCTTTATACGCCCACAATTTCTACCTTACTTCATCTCCCGCTCCTTCTATTTCCCGAAGATAGTCTCCCGTGTCGCCAATATCCACACCTGAAAATACCTGCTCGACCGGGCCGCGATCACTTGGAAATTCTCAACTCAGTTCGTTGCCGGTACATGTGTGCTGGCTCCTTGACACCCCTGGGCGAGATGATTAGCCTCCTTGATTACGGCAGGAGAATGCTCCGTTCAGAACCACCGACATTCTTTGTGCGCTGGAGTGATGATCGCCAGACCATCTTCTTCGATGATCACGGCCTCCACATGGATCAATTTCGAGGTTTTGCTCGCTCACTCTCTGATTCCGCCACCGATTGGTACAATCAGCTGATGCACCAATGGCAACCCGACGTGTCATTAGGGGGTATCAGGGATAGCTTCAGCAATAACACTCCAGGGTACTCATTCGTCTATGATTCAGCCAACCGATTGAACGATGCGTATCTTCAACTCTCCACCAGAGTTTGCGGCATGGGCCCAGCTGCGTTGATTCAAAACGGTGAATGGGATCTTCCGGCTATTATTGAGTACCTTCAACTACACGATCGAGGGCTCCACGCCTTAGGGGGAGCTATGGCCGTCAGCGACGGGGAATGCCTCGCCTCGGTGAGATGTTTACCACCCTGGTACGAAATGGTCCGATGAGCCCGCGTGGCGTTTACGTCTATGACAGGACAGTGATGACTTTCGCGCGGTATACCAAGGCCTAACGCAACACTAATCGCGAATTTTTTGTAGCGCGGTTTTTGTCACCGGCACTTCGTCGTGTATTATTCTATGAGATGGTACTCCGTATACTGTACGTTCGGCCGTTGATCAACATGCTTCTTCGTGAATGCTTCAAGGTATCCACCACTAACGACCTCCTATTTTCCACCAATCCGGTGGTTGCTCGACAAGCCTCTTATCGCCACCGGACGATCAATAACCTTACTTCCGCTTTCCGCCAGAGTAGCAATCGCATTCTTGGGTATCCTGTGGGGTCGCGGTTACTTCGTCAAGTGACGATTGCCACCACCGAAACGCATGTTCGAGAGAACGCCCATCCATTCAATCGTTACGATAACTATAGCGTCGATGCCCCAGCTGATGTAGCATTTTCATGGCAGAGTGGTCATCGACCGCGGGTGTGAGCGTCGAATTATGGTCAAGATGGTGCCTTCTCTCGTATCGTCGACGCTGCTCTTTGGAGGCGTATCGCAAGGTGTCTTTCCGGTGGCACAATTTCTTCGTAGTTTCCAGCCCACCCACGAAAACAGGCTCCAGAATACCTTCCACGAATCACGTCTCAAGCCAGGACCAAATCATTTCCAGCTCGATGCCGTCACAGCGAAATATCTACGCTTAACAGGGAGTCCCTCGAAATCCACTCGCGGAGAATAACATCAACAATATCTCCATTAGCCAACAACACGGTCATTCCACAGTCTTCAATTCTAAGTTAGCTCAAGAGAGCGGCCCGAGCCGAGCATTCGGTCTCCTAAGAACCACCCATATCCAGAAGTTGAGGTCCAGGCTCGAACCGAATCATGGCGGAGCCAAAACCCATTATCAACCCAAGTAAGACGAGCTCGCGCACAATGTCGTATCAGTCTAAATTCTATCAATGAAGGCCAATATACCCCCCAGGAAGCATTCGGCAGTCTCTTCATCCACCTCCCGCAATATCGCGTGATCATCTGCGACGCATACCCCGAACCATTTGCGGTAGTTCCCGCCCACGTGGAAGCCCACATCAGAAAGCACCACCCTCACATCCCACCAGCCGTTCGTAAAAGTATTAGGCAGTATGTTAGAACCTTGTCACATTTAGCCCAACAACCAGAAGACGTATGCTCAGCTATCACGAGTGGACGTATCCAGGCCTTACCAGTATTCGACAAGGGGATGGTATGCTTGATGTCACAAGTAGA